GGAAACCCAACACGGATACCCCTAACAAATGCTGTTTACCGACAGGGGAAACCCAACTAAGATGCGGCCGCTTCTGGGAATAAGATTTTTGGCGCGAGCTCAAAAGGCGGGGTCCTCGTTGGTCGTGTTTAAAACTGAGGGCCCTGCTTGTCCTCATGATGAGGATGTTCCTGGCTTGGGAACATGGACCACTGGCGCCTCATGACGCGAAGATATGCACAATTTCGGACATCTCCTTTTGTTGTTATCTCAAAAGGTTGCCGAGCTGTACCAAAGCAGCCTTTGCGTGTCTCTCCGTTGGAGTCCGGCTATATCTTGTCAAAGCAAGAGGCCATGTGATCTGGGTACTTGTTGATTTTTGCCGGCTCTCTGCCTGCTAAATTAAAACCCAATAGGGAATAGAGAAGCTTCTATACCTGACAAAAACATCCCAAAAGGAACCCGTGCCATGGACCCCCCCCCAAAAAAAGAGCAACCACCACATTGAAAAGTCACTGTCTGGACAAGCAGGACTTTGGGGAGGATGATGAGGAGGAGTGGGAAGACCTTGATGACAAGGCAGGCACTACTCAATGGCCAGAAGAGTTTTGGATTTCTTTTTTTGGAGGTTTGGGTTCCGGGTGTTGAGCACCCCCCCCTGTTTCCACACATGCGAAATCTCCGCAGTATAATCCTGGCAGCTTCATTTCGCATATCCCCTAGAATCTGTCAGAGTCTGTATGTCATCCATATGATGCACATTCTGCATGCAATCCTCCATTGGAGCTACAAGACAAAGCCCTAAAGCTTGAATACAGAACCTTGAATTCCTAAACTCATCCCTACATCCTTGAGCCCTCTGCTCTGAACCCCAACAGAAAGGTGGAAGAAGTGGAGCTCGAGGATGACTTGGGCATGGGAGACATGGAGGACTGAGATTCATCCCCACCTGTACGGAATAGTGGAGAGTGAAATGGAGAATAAAATGGAGCAGAAAATGGAAGAGGAAGCTGGGGTTATAGAGCGTTTTACAGGAATACCTAATATCATGATGGTGCTAAGTTCCTTGCACGATCATGGAATAGGGTGTCTCAGATAGACCTCAACAAGATACTGATAGTTATGTTGAAATATCCTCAGGTATCCTCAGGGGCTTCCAATGGGAGAATCTAGGGTTCAAGGATTAGGGTCAAAGGTTGGGGATTACGGTTTAGCGTTAGAGTCTAGGAGGTTTAGTTCTCAAAAAGGGGGGGATCCCGCAAAGCAAAACAAGGAATAGTGGACCTTCGGGATATAGGAGGGGAACACCTAGGTTGGAAAGCATTTTATGCGCATTTCTCAGGGGACATTCTTTGTACTGGTACATACAGGGCCCCATACTAAAAGAAAGCCCATAATTTCGAGAATAGTTCGTAGGACTTCTATCTCGACACCGCGATTTTTCATGCAGGTCCACGAAGAATTCTCGACAGGGACAGCACCAAACCAGAGCAAAGTCGAAAACTTGACCCCCAGCGCTCAAAGCCCTAAACCAGTAAACCTCTAGAGCCAAAGCTCTTGACCCCATAGACCTAAACCCTAAACAACTGAACCCTGAATCCTTGCGCAGGACGTGGCGCTGCCGGCCCGGAAGAAGAGGTGAAGTGCCGACTAGAAGCGAACAGCACTTCAGAAGCTTTAGAGGGATGAGTCGTAGGATTTGAAGGGCTCCCCAAAACGCTAGAGGGGTCGCTTAGCAACCATTTTTCTGGTTCGCTTACCGAACTTTTTTGGGGTCGCTTGGCACGTCTTGTGTTGGCCGCTTGTCTGCAGCCATGTGGTTCCTTGAGCCGTCAACCTGAAATCCAAAACCCCTAAACCCTAAGCCCTAAATCGAAAACCCCTAAACTAAAACCCTAAATCCAAAACCTCTAAACCCTAAACCCTAAATCAAAAACCCCTTATCCCTAAACCCTAAATCAAAAAAAAACTTATCCCTAAACCCTAAATCCAAAACCCCTTATTCCAAAACCCCTAAACCTTAAATCCAAAACCCGTAAATCCAAAACCCCAGATCCAAAACCCCTAAGACTTAAACCCTACATCCAAAACTTCTAAACCCTAAACCCTAAATCCAAAAACCCCTAAACCCTAAATCCAAAACCCCTAAACCCTACTAAACCCTAAATCCAAAACCCCTAAACCCTAAATCCAGAACCCCTAAAGCCTAAACCACGGATGCAAAACCCCCTAAAACCTAAATCTAAAACCCCTAAACCCCGAATCCAAAACCCCTAAACCCTAAACCCTGGATCAAAACCCCCTAAACCCTATGCCCTAAATCCAAACCCCCTAAGCCCTAAACCCAAAATCCAAACCCCTTATCCCTAAACCCTAAATCAAAAACCCCTTATCCCTAAACCCTAACTCCAAAACCTCTAAACTCTAAACCCTAAATCAAAAACCCCTTATCCCTAAACCCTAACTCCAAAACCTCTAAACCCTAAACCCTAAATCAAAAAACCCTTATCCCTAAACCCTAAAAATCCAAAACTTCGAGCAAGGCCCTGATTAGCTGCCGGCTAGGCAGCGGGCCGCAGCGAGCTCGCCGAGCCCCAAGCGACGGCAAGCGAGACCAGAGCAGGTCACTCTGGCTGGTCGAGGTCCCATACCCTAGCCTGAAGAAGAGTTAGACATGCCAGGTCTCATGGGCTCTGACCGTCTGGCGGCCTTTTTCTCAGGACCGCAGGGCATCCAGCTATGGCGAGATTGGCTCTTCGGCAAGCTGGGTGCAGGAGATGTCAAAACGGTGCGTGGCCAACGAGGTCATCTTGCGAGAAACGGGTCAAGAGTTGCACGTCAATGAGGGTGACGCCTGAGTGTGGATGATGTTCGTTAAAGGAGTACGGGACTCGCTCGGCCAAATTGGCCTTTGTTCCTGCAGAGGATCAAAAGAAGCGCTTAAACAAACAAAAACAAACGGAAGCCTCGGGAGGGAGGCGGCCTCAGGATATTCAAGCCGGTGCTACCAAAAAACAACTATTGAAAAAGGCGGCGCCGCAGAGCGCAGCGGCAGCGAGCGATGGCGCCGCAGCCCCGTGCGCGATTTTGGGAGTTCTAGACCGGAAGCTTTTGGGATAGAGGTATATACGTACGCTGCAGCTCCGCGTGCGACTCTGGGATCCGAACCCAGAAGCCTTAGGATGGAGGCAGCCTCAGGGTCTTTAAATCAGCGCTACTAAAGAACAACTAACCTAAAAGGCGACGCCACAGGATTTAAGGTTCAGATTTAGATTTAATGTGTTAGAAATAAGATATAGGGACTCGGGATGCGTTCGCCGATGTTTTACTGAGTGTGACGTCTGTGGTATCATGACCTTTTAGGATTGCGATTTAGGCTCTAGGGTATAAGGTTCAGGATTCATGAAAACAGGAGGTCTGCCATGATGGCGCCGGAAAACTTCGAACTTAACAGATTCAGAACGACAACTATAATGTAAAGGTGGCGCCGCAGAGCGCAGTGGCAGCGAGCGATGGCTGCCGCAGCCCCCTGCGCGATTCTGGGACCCGAAAACGGCTGCCTTGGGATGGCTGCCTTAGGATATTCAAATCGGCGCTACCCAAAAACAACCAATGAAAAAGGCGGCGCCGCAGGGCGCAGTGGCAGCGAGCGATGGCGCCGCGGCCCCGTGCGCGATTCTGGGAGTTCTAAACCGGGAGCTCTTGGGATAGAGGTGTGCGTACGTCAGGTTATACTCGCATGTTTGGCACCGTTCACAGATATTCGGTACAAGAAGAGCCCAAAAAGCAAAAGAAGACCCAAGCCACCAGCAAAAAAACCTTAAACCCTAAAAGGGTAAGGACTGGGTGGTCTCGGGGTGGGAGTTTAGCTTTAGCGCGGCGCGCCGCCCACGACCTCTTGGGTCGAGGCGCCGCGCTTCCAGGTGGAAACCCCTACACCCTAAAGCCGAAACCCTACACCCTGAACCCCGGATCCAAACCCCTTAAACCCTAAATCCAAAACCTCTAAACCATAAATCCAAACCCCTGAACCCTAAACTTTTCGTCCGAAACTCATAAACCCAAAATCCAAAATTCTTAACGCACCTTAAGCCCTAAATCCAAAACCTCTCAACCCCCAAACCCTAAATACAAAAGCCTTAAACCCTAAACCCTAGATCCACAACCCCTAAAGCCTAAACCTTAAATCCAAAACCCCCAAACCCTAAACCCTAAATCCAAAATCCCTAGACCCTAAACCTTAAATCCAAAGCCCCTTTAGCCCTAAACCCTAATCTAATAAACCCCTTAAAACCTAAACCCTAAATCCAAAAATCCCGAAACCCTAAATCAAAACCCCTTAAACCCTGCACCCTAAATCCAAACCCCTAAAATTCGGTCTTTCGCTGGCACATTCAACGTGGCTTCTGCTGCAAATGTGTCAGAATGTATCCTTCAGAGACATTTATGCACCTGCCTGTGTGGGCATTCCGTGCAGACGGAAAAAGGTGTGGCAAAAAAAACAAAAACTCGAGACCCTAAACGTTAAATCCAAAACCCCCAAACCCTAGGCCCAAGACCCCTCAGGCTGTCCCAGAAGTTTGACGTGGCCAAATGACCAGCAAAAATTGGTTCGGGATCCGAATTGGCTAAGTCACCCGCAAAAATGTTTGCCAAGTGACCCCGGAACCATTCAGTTTGTGTCCTAAATTAGCTCTTCGTTTGAGGTCCCGAAGCACCCTCCATGTTATAAAACAGCAGGCACTAGATTAGATGCGTTCCCTTTTCATTCCCCCTACAGGCGAGCCAAAGGTCCGCGGGTGGAGCTGGAGTACGAAGAGGAGTTGGATGCAAGGAGGGGTTGAGCTTCGTGTGTGTCAGGTCGTCATATGCTGTGCATGTACAGCAAGAAGCGTTGTATTCAGTGTGACACAACCGTGCACCTACAGAACGTGAAGCATATTCTTGGGGGGAGGAGGGTAGTGCACGATGAGATTTTTTGAGTGCTCCTCCGCCGTGATCTAGGTGACCCTTGCCGAGCTCGAGCAGACAATAAGCGGAGAGCTCGGATGCCTTGCATAGCTGGATTCATACCTAAGATATGAAGACAAACAGATGGATAATGATACATCGATCTACACGTTGTATGCACACTTGCACTTTTTATACGCCTATAGATACACGTATGACAGTGGTGGAAGTGTTTGACAGCAAACCTTGGACCGGCGTAATCACAAACTACGCCATAACTGCATTGCCGTAATCATGGGGTTCAGGGTTTCCGATCAGCAAGATGTAAAGAATCCCGTGTGAACAGTGCACATTTGCTATCATCAACTTACCGATTGACTTATCCCCAAAGACCGTAAATCAAATGGGAACCCTGGGTGGTGAATCCTAAACCCTTATAAACCCCAATAAAAGTAATAGCAAGAACGCGAGCAAGAACAATAACAGTAGTAATAAGAGTAATAATGACAATATTGATAACAGTGATGATAAAGATAAGATAAAAATAATTCCAACAATAATTCTAACACTTGTAATAACAATAGTAATGATATATGGTAGTAGCAATGAAAATAGCACGCGAAGCCCCAGGCCTCGGCCACTTCTCGCCCGGTCTCACCTTATGCGGCGACGCTTTCAGGGCAATGCTCTTTGCGTGGCTTTCGTCAAAAACGTGCATGGACACTAGGGGTTCTATAGGGATAATGCAAGAGCACCTGGAAACTACTTTAGGGCTGTTAGCGTTTAAGTTTTAGGGTTCTGAAGATCAGGAGGTTTACCTTCCGGGGATGTGATTGGGAATTCATATTTTTGTTGCTTTCCTTTTGTTTCTGGAAACTGGCAGAAGCCGCAACATTGAGATCATATGCATGCTCGCCCGTTCATCTTTGCTCAAGCCAGGCTGATATTTGTCAGATTCCACGGTTTAGGGGTTCCTTCTTGAAGCTTGGCGAGAATGTTGGAGCTTGGGCGTATGTCATGCGCTGAAGATATGAAGATCAGAAGCGATCGTAAGTCTCCTAATGAACCATGCGCAGTCTACTTCCCACATCAGCTTTGGTCACAGCAACACAAAGCATCATACAACACAAGTGCTCGTCATCATGCATGAAAGCGTGGCTACTCTGAACTTGTCGTAGCTTTAAGCAGCGTCTGCACCTACACTTAAGAGTGTGCCTTGCAGTCATCCCTTGCATGAAGCTTTAATGCCTCGGTCATTCTGATGGCCTTCGCACCCTGAACCTCTAAAGCCTAACTCAGCGCAGCTTTGCTTTAGAACTTCAGGTTAGCGCGGTGCCGACGGATACATTTTAATGCAGTTGCAAATGTTGCGGCTCGTGGTAGTTTATGCTGCGATTCGTGTCGCGGTGGCGGCAGTGCCTGATCTCAAGTGGCGGTTCAGACTGCAATGTTATTGCTGCTATTGTTTGCGACAGCTATGGCAGCTATGCCGCTCTTTGTACTGGCAATCTGCTTTTCAGGGTACAAAAGAAGGACACATTTTGAGACGTAATTGCCAAACATGACCCCTCAAAAATTGGAGTGTGTAGACTGTAGTGTAGTGCTCGAAATAGGGGCATTGCATCACCCTGCATGGTCCCAGGACTACAACATTGTCAACCTCGACAATGCGACTTTTCCATTGCTGCTTGGAGCTGGAATGTGAGCAGGCATTTACCTGTTGGGGAGCACCAATAACCCAGCATATCTCTCATGATCTATGGCCTTGGTATACACTGATGCCACTGAAGTAGTTTCCGTGTAGGGGAAAATGGAGCATTTCTATGTCTGTGCTGATGAGCTTGGATTTTCTGAGGGGCTCGACTGGGCTCGATATGGTGTGGTGGTCTAATGAAACTCCCCGATACTCCTTCAAACCTGCGCATGAACTCCTTGCTAGCTGTGATGCCTTTCGAATCTTGATAGCTGGCAGCAATCTTATGCAGAAAAGTGGTCGCTGTCTTCTGGAGATCATCAAGGATATCTGCTGAGGTATCTTCTTTGCTGAGGACCTAAACGCTGAATTCTTATCTCTAAACCCTAGATCGCAAATACTAAGCCTTATAAACCTTTTCTCCAACATGTTACTCCCCAAGCCCTCGTTGCCCAGCAGCTAAAACAGAGCCGCACCTTGGGCCACAATCCAGACGGCCAGGCTCTTAGCTGCACACCCTAAACCCAAAGTTCCTGACCGAAGACTCCTGACCCTAAACCTCGTATAGACTGTAGACCCTACAATCTCTAAACTTCACACCGCAATTAAGATCTAACCCTAAACTTAACATTCTGAACCTGAACCCCTACACGGTAAATCCGTAGTTCCAAACTCTAAACTCCAAACCCTAGGCCTCAAACCCAGCGAGCAGCGTAACAGTCCGAGGGGCTGAAACAAACAGACCCCAATGTCATCCGGCGGCTGGAAAATGACGTGCGAAAAAACAAAATCCAAACCTCAAACCCCTGACTCTAAACTGAATGCTAAACCTTAAACCCTAAACCTAACTCCTCAACCCTGAACTCTGTACGCTAAACCTTAAACCCTCAACTCTATATCCTAAAGCCCTACAGTAAGCCTAAACTCTACACCCCAAGCCGGAACCTAGAAACCCAATTCCTTAGAACCACAGCTCTAAACTCGAAACCTTTGAGACCAAATCCCAAAATCTAAGCTCTCAACTCCAACACCCAACTCTAAACCCTCAACCTTCAGCCATGAACGCTTAAACCCCAAGCTCCAAACCATATAAACCTTAAGTGCTTAAGCCCTAAGCCTTGACTCCAAACCCCCTGTCTCCAATCCCTCAACCTTGCACCATGAACTCTGGACTTATAAGCTCTAAACCCTAAGCCTTACAGCCCGTCAACTCTAAACTCCGAAGCGTCAGCGATGGGGAGAAGAAGCAGAGTCTAAACCTGACCTGACGGGGGATAGTTGGTTAATCCCAGCTTCGCGGCAATGATGTGAGTCCTCGAGCATACACGTCGTGTGCCGTACAACAACGCAGCTCAGTAGTCAGTATGGGTTCTGATTTGGTCGAGGCAGATATGAAGCCCAGCACTTGCTTTCCATGATCCATTGTAATTATTACACATGGAGCTTGGATTGGGACACGTAGAACAAAGAACACCTAAACTTTAGATCCGAAACCTTCAAGCCGACACCTTCAACCCTGAACCCTACACTGCAAGCCAATCAAATTTAAAGCGCAGCTCACTAATCTAAACCCTCTGTCGTTAGTCCCGGGTGGGTTGCCCTTTGGCGTCGATGGAGGCGTAGTCTCCACGAATTTAGGCTTCGGTGGCGAAAGCCGGAGAGGTCTGGAACCGGGGTGGCTAAGTTTCTCTGGGTCCCCGCTTTAGGGGCGGGGGGCGGTCGCGGTCCACTGCCTGGGGGTGCTCGCCTGAAGGGCAGTGGTCCGTTTGGAGGGAGTAAATTTGTTGCAACCTTGAAGGCACAACCCTAAACTCAACACTGTAAGAATTGTACCCTAAACTCCAAACCCTGAATTCAGAGGCCATTCCAAACCTCAAGTCGCGCGCGGTTTTTTATCGGTCACAGGATAAAAGGATGGACAGTGGATTCGTTCCGAAGGGTTTCTGATTAGAAGCTGATAGCACATATACAACACTTGGAACATGATACCTTACCAATTTTCCACTGGCCAGTAGCCAAGACAACAAAAAATATGATATCAAATCCTACACGCACACCCTTCCTTAAACTTTGCACTCTACACCGCACAGTCTAAACCCAAAGCCTCAACACTTAAAACTAAACCCTAAGCCATAAACCGTAAGCCCTAAACCCTATCTAGCCCCAGTATAGTAGTTTCCAATTTGTTTTCCATTATCCCAATATACCCTTAACCCTAAGCCCTGAACCTGAAGCTTAGGCTAGTGGGCCGGTCGCTGCCAGCCTTCGTCCGTTTCGATCGGGCCCAGAACCCGCACATGATCCACGCATGAGCTAGGTCTTAAGGGTTCAGCGGGTTTAAGGGTAAGGGTTCAGGTTAGTTTGGGGTTTGAGCTAGATGGCAGGGGTTCGGCGGCTACGATGGGCCTAGGAGTTAGGGTTTCGGGTTACTTTGGGGTTTGAAGGCGTAGGGTTTGGGGTTAGGGCTTCCAACAGTTGAGGTCCCCGTTGTATACTGACTAAGACTAAAACTTACTACGAGGACCTAAAGTAACGGACCCCAAATTTCTGGAGCCTCCACGTAGGACAGTAATTGCTCAAGTTAGTGTTCAGCGTTCAAGGCCTAAAGACATACTTGCCCGGGGGGCTTAACCTCGTTGGTCTTCTGGGATTCGAGATCAGGTTTCAATGCAGGGCCCCATATGTTGATAGATGCTCGGGCGTTAGCTCACAGAGTTTGCACTTGTCAAGCGCAAGGTTCTCCTCTCCTATACCTAGGAAGTGTTTGTAGAATTGGTATGAAACCGTCTATGTTTTCGCTAACCTGCCCAACATGAAGAAGCCGGGATCCTGTGCAAGGAGTACCCCTACGGCGAGAAGGCCGATGCATTTAAATCGCAGCCTGGCAAAGTCAGGGAGTGAAATGAGTGTGGTGGTGGTAGTACTACAAGTCCTGCTGCTTCTTCCTCGCACAGCAAAGCACAGGCCTGCGTTCTAACGCACTTTCCAGACTTCTTTTCTAAGACTGCTACAGCAAGTGCCAGTTCATCATAAGCCCCCTAGCCCATGCATCTCTAGGGCCCGCGCATTGTGAGAGACTAATACCGTTTCCATTTCATTTCTATGTTCTTTGCGATTTGATTCTCCCCCATAGGGGTCCCCTATATAGCTAAATAACCCTCTAAACCCTTGAGGTCCCTACTTTGAGAACAGTCCTTCTGTCCTGAGGATGGCTTCCGTGGTCGCACGCAGTGGCAGGTGCGGGCAAAGAGTCTCACAGCACGTGCCACATGGGCAGCTCTGGGTACAGGGTGCAGAATTTATAGGGATTAAATTGCATCAGGGTCGACAGTTCCAAGACTTTTTTTGAAGCTGGACCGACAAGGGCGATACGATTCTGGGGCAGCTTTGAGAGCAATGAGGATCCTACTTTCTTCTAGGTTTCCTTGTGTTGTACCAAGATCTAAGTAGCCCCAAGTGCATTGCAGATAAGCTTTGCTTCTGCCAGCACCACGCTGATTGCTTCCGTGGGCGTCTCGACCTATGGAGAGAAGCAGAACCAAGACATGGCACCATGGCACAAACTGAAGTGAAATTTCTGAAAGGCTGCTAGGCTGCCAGGTTGAATGTGCAATTGGGGTCGGGTTCCCCAGCAAAGAGCATTTTCACGTTTTGGGCTTGACCCAGGCCGAGCAGGGAGGCCAGTTTCTTGAACCCAGCACAGGCTACAGTGCAGAGCACATGACGCATCTTTTAAAGGAGGAAAGCTTAGCCCACAAATGTTATCTGTGTAAAACAGGTAGCTACTTGTACCAACCACCTTCCCAGAAAGCTCCGCATGGTCAGTAATTACATGTCCCTTCAGACTTAAAGCGTTGCCCAAATCCTCCAGATGCCCTTGCAACTGCAAGTGGCGCTGCTACTCTGATTACTCCTCTTCTGTTCATCCTTCCCTGTAGAATCTTTGTTTACCCCAACCATATAAATCTTGAGCGTTGACAGTATGGGCACTAGCCTAAAATCCAATTGCAGGAATATTCCCTGAGAATGGATCCTCATATATCTACAGTACATAGTATGATATACCGCAAGATCTTCTGCTGATCAAATTTTGGGCCCCTACATTCGATCCTAAACCCTTAGCCTGTTGCTGCTAAGGCAAGGAAGTTCGGTTACTTCCCCAAAGGCGCACTGTCAGCCAAGAACTGTTTGGGTCCCTGATATTGAACTTCTGGGGCTTCCTTCGGGACTTGAAGGGAAATCATTGTATAAATATACAGGGATATCCATACACATTCATGAAGAGCAGGTATGAATGTATAGGCTTGTTTGATGTTTGCAGAATCCTTCGGAAGTCGTGCTTGGGCTTCGGGGGCATCTTGCTAGAAAGGTTTCTGATTTCGAGGCACATGTGAGCTATAGTCTAAACTAAACTCCTAGTATCTCCCTAAATAACCCCTATAGTAGTCCCCTATATAGTGCCCTACATATCCCACTCTAAGGAGTTTAGACTATGGCTCATGTAGGAGGATGCAGCAGATCTTAGGGATTTGTGGTTTTCAACTGGTGCAAATGATCCGCAAAGGCGGCGAGTGAGAGAGTGAGAGTGCCACGTGTGCATATTCAGAGGCAGCACCTTTGAAACAGGATGACTTTCTCGTCCAGGCCAGTGCTGAACGATTATTTCCATGAAGGCACGAGTCTCCTGCTTTGAGAGCTAGCGGGACCGTAAACAAAGGACCATCCTGCACCCCCAACCCCAACTCTACCCAGACACCTACTCTCCCCAAACTAGCATGGAACCAACAATGGAACCTGCTGGTTGCATGTTGGCCTGTGTAAGCTTGCGCTCCAAAACCCAGAGCCCTAAACCTGGCAGACAAAGAAGAGCTGGAATCCAGCGACATGGACAAGCTCTTCCCAAAGCTCATGTGCCTCAGACTCCTTTTGGAAAGCCGTATGAGTTCATAGCGGGGTTTGTCAAATGTGGTCGTTCACAAGCTCTGAAAAACACCATGCAGAGCATGTATGTCGTGTCTTGACAGATGGTATATGATGATACAGGTGTATGTAGGTGTGTGCAGCTGTCATGCAGGACATTCTGTGCCCAAAGGGAGTACTTCAAGTTGCGTGATAGCTTACGCCGCACTCCTGTCTTTTCAAGCGATAATACCCTAAACCCTTAAACCTCAAATCCTAAGCCTTGACCCTCCCTGTACGATTTTTTTGTCCGTGAGAGTCTGTGCAAACAGGTATTTCCCTCCTGGTGATGTGGAAGGTGCCGCCTTGTTAGCAAGATGCTTCAAAATGGGAGTACTCCTTGGGATGTGACAGATGATGAGGGGACCCCGCCACGCAATTGTTAGACGTGGGGGAGATCATGCAAGCCCCCACAACAAAGGTTATACTACTCTTTGAAGGAAGGCATTTTGGTTCTGGGGAGAGTATGTGGCATAGTACACACATATCAAGCTGTGTTTCCTTGTTTCGAAGGTCCTCGTCCTCATGTTGCAAAAGCATGATGAGTCACTGCCATATCGACACAGAGCCATGCGCCTTTTGGTGCTGATGCAGTGCTAAGCTTGCTTGATCCCCCAAAGCCTCAACACACCAATGCCTCCAATTTTTCCCCATGTAGTCGCTGTTCCAGCTTCCCCGCAACTCGGATGTCCCCTCTTGAATTTAACCCTAAAACCTAAAACCTTGCACCCTGTTGGGCAGGGCAGTTATACAACGGGAAGGTCACGAAGGCCCGCGCAATCGGCTTGGTGTCAGCCTGCAGCTGTTGTGTGCGGATTTTGTGCTGGAGAATCATGTAATTAATTATCGGTGGTAGGTCTTCAAAGTTATAGTCCCTTTTTGGGTATTCATGGAACTGCAGCCCTCCATATATAGGATACCCATAAAGAGACTACTGGTAAAATATTGACAGCCCCCCTCCTAACGTAACACAATACAATTAAGATTAAAGGCTCCTCTGTGGACTAGGTGTATTCAAATCCTGCCACCTGGGGCAGACACAGGAGCCCTACTTTCTTTAAAGCATGCCCATTTGCCCCGGCTGCGGCACCAATTGCTGCTGCGAGGCTGCCATGTTGAAGTTTTTGGGCATCGAAGAGAAGAGCTGTGACCCCTTGACTGGTTCCTTCTGCAGCGAGGAGCAGCAACTTGGCAGCACGGAGAGCTCGCAAACGCTAAAGGCTCACAGGGCGAAGGTAAATAGTAGTTTCCATGTTCTTTTCCATTATCCCTATACAATCCCTATGTAACCCTAAATTACCCCAATGTAACCCTAATGGTACGCCCCTAGGGCTTATGATTCTTCAGGTCGATCATCCTAAGCCCTAAATTTCTGAAAGACAGGCATGAAGCACTGAACTTGAGAAGCTCAATTTAGGAAGAAGCACCTCGAGAAGATGGCGGGTAAGAGCCAAGAGGAGCTTTCGAAGCTGTTGGAGGCCGATTGGTAGTCAAAGACTTTAAGTTTGTACCCTTAATGTTTGTACCCCTAAGTTTTGGGTCCCAGATACCCTTATTGAGGGCCATATTCCATGGTTTAGGCACCCAAAACCCAAGGGTACAAACCCTAAGGGTCCAAAGGAAAACTCCCTGAGGTAGGGACGGTCTTGGTTTAGCTCAGAGCTTAGGCTTTAGGTTTTGAGTGTTTAACCTGTGGGGTTTGGGGATCCAGGATTTAGGGCCTTTTTTGTCGGGTATTCTTGGTCAGGGTTTGGGAGCTCGCAAGGTTGACAGTCGAAGTCGAGATTGTGCGGAGCTCCTGAAGCGAGATGAAATGGGTCTGCATCTGGTAGTTTCCAACAATTGGGGCATCCCAATGTAGACCCCAAATATTATATTCAGTATTATAGGAACCGAAGAATGGTACCCCTAATTCCGGGAAACCCCGTCTAACTTGGTATTACATTGCAGAGTTCGGGTCTTCATGCCAAACAAGTTCACCGATGCGGAGAACCCCCCCCCCCTATTTAGAAGTCTATAGAGTGAAGTGCCAGCAAAGGCAGAACCGGGGATCGAATGAGAGAGTAAGGTCAAACCTTTACAGCAAGGATTGCATCAATTTTGCAAAGCTCAGGGGGCTCAATCTGCCATCTGAGATGAGCATTATCACCACCATATGGCCTGCCACTATAAAAATCATCATGATCATTCCATGTCTACCTTTGTGTGTGGGGCCTCATTGATTACAGCGTTCGACCAGCAGGCCCTCACCCGGCGATCGGCACAGACACTGAAGAAGGAAGAGCGCAAGGCAGACAGTTCTCTGTGGCAGGAGTATTTTGGGTGCGACATTTGCCTTATAGCTACAGTGGTCGTGGTGACGACGATGGTGTTCGTGGTGGTTGCTCAAGGTATTCTGCTGCGAGATGAAGGCAGCATGCAGTGATGGTATTGAAAATTAAAATGATTACTCAGCTGATACAGGGGTTTAATGATGAGTAGGAACAGCTCAGATTTGGAGGAGAAAAGCTACTACCGGCCTCTTACCCTGCAGGAAGTGGATGGACAACTGGCTGTCCTGAAGAAGCTCCTCAAGGCGTGGTAAGGATTAACTGGCTTTCTGGAGGAGTTTGCTCTCAAAATTATGCTTTCGGCCGGGAAATCTGGATTGACTGCATGAAGTGAAGGGAGTGGGATGTTGCAGGGATCTTTATTCCAACAGCTTGAAGAGATTGGGCTGAGATTGGGGTCGACGGTTCTTACCAATCAAGAGGGTCGGGCTGAAAGTTCTTGTTGAAACAACATTGACCGGCAGTTTTTTTTTTTTTGCCGGGGTGGGTGCGTGTGTGGAGCCTTTACCAGACAAGTTGCTGTCCGCCCTAGCAATCATTTCTTGATTAACCACGTCAAAACCAGGGCTTGTGTTGAGGTTGCAGAGGGATTACCATAGCATCGTAGCATGTTCTGGAAAGAACCTGTAGTTGTTGCAGGTGCATCTGGGAAGTTCCGGGTATGATCCCCATGTTAATTCTGACTCGCGACCCCTACAAAACTGCCAGAAAGCCCACATTGTTGATACTGAAAATCCTGCATGGCCTTATTGTACTATAGTACCATTGTTCCCCAGGCCCAGGTATAAGGTACTTAGGGTCATCCACCGTAAGATCTCCCTGACCACCCTGGTTTGAGCAGCTCCCCGTCTGCCTGCGCAGGTGACAAAGAAAGCGAGTAAGAAGTGAGTGGCTTTCAAAAGGATCTGCATATTCTGGCAGGTTGATGGAAGCAGGTTTTCATTGGTAGCTGAATGAATTCGAGAGGCCCACATGCACCAAGACAGAATCCTAGAAATATGACCGACATGGTTTGTGCGTGCTCATGCAAGATCCAAGTCCAAGTTTAAGTTTCCTTTGACGGGTCTGGGCGCATACAGCTGTTGCGCCTGAAGGCTTCGGCAGAGGATCCGATCCTAACCTTTATCGGGGCGCTTTTTGGATTTGGGGGAAATTCCATGAAGGCTACTACGACACCATGATGTACATCACATCGGGTACGTTCTGTTTCCACCAAAGAGCGCCGGAAGATGGTCTACGGGTCTATGCAGACATCTGATGGCCAGCTTGCACAGAGTCAAAGTATTGCCGCGGGAGTGCTTCCGAGCTGTCTCTTTGGGAGCCTGAGGTGATTTTGTATATGGGGATAATGGAAAAGAACATGGAAACTACTATAGTATATTAGGGGTCCCTTTCAGCGGTAATATTGGGGTTATATAGGGTTTCGGGGTCCAGAGTTTGGCTTAGGGTTGCGAGTGACAAGTTTGAGTTGCCTCCGCGCCCGACCCGAAGCTGGATGAGAATGTTTACACACCAAACAAATACCTCCACAACTGTACCTCCTCATTCTGGTCACACTGCAGTGCAGCCAACAACGCAAGCAAACCATGAACATGTTGGTGAAGTCCTCAGTAGCTCTTTCAACAGCATGTTTCGCCTCAATTGAGAACCATGGCCACGAGCCGATTGAGGATTTCAGGGCAGCCAGATTCGACCAGGCCCCGGATCGCAAGTTTCTGTGATAGTTTGAAGACGTCGCGCCAAGCAAGCTCTACCTGGAGGACTCGTTGAGACGTTGTGGAGAAGATGACGACTCCCAGGCTCCTGTACTTAGATCCCAGAGGTTCCCAAAACGAAGACTTTCTACGAAGGGCTTAGTTTAGGGTGTAAATCCCTTTTGAGCGTTCTTCCCAACCCTTCTTCTTTGTATGGGGACTCTAGGATCTAGACCTGACTTGCGTGGTGACAGTCTGCAAGCCATCAGGCAGTCCGTGAAGCAACATGTCGGCGGGCGGCGCATGATGAGGATCAAGGCACTGCCCCAGCTGCCCCCAAATCATTAGTGAGTTTATTATGTATAGGGTTGAGAGCACCTTTGCGAATGTCAGATGCCAGTACTGCTACTGATTCTGAGAGAAGGGCGCAGGGATTCGTTTGCTGGAGGAGGTGATTGACTTGCCAGATATTGTAGGTACAGCTCCTGCAAATCCAGTCCCCAACTCCTCAAGCCTATACCCACTGTGCTATACCCTGGGCACACTGCACCCTCTAAATCCTTAACCCTGTGGAGGAAGCTATGGACAGCTCAGTGGTCCGAATAGCGGAGGGAGCTGCAGAGCTCTACATTCCCAAGCCCGTCACCAGCTCGGAGAAGTGGGTTAAAGCTTGTCCAAAAAGGGACGATAGTCCCCCTTAAGTAGATAGAATATGGTTTTGGGATGTTTTTGGTATATTACAACAAGATGCCCATATACCCCATATTTTATCTATCTACCTAAGGGGGACTATACCCTCAGGGAGAATAGGGTGCAGAGTTTAGCATTTGGGGTCTAGGGTTTGGCGTTCGGGAAGGTCAGGAGTTAGGGTTCAGGGTTCAGAGCTTTGGGTCCCGAGTTTAACGTTGAGGCTTCAGGGTATATAGGAAGGGTATGGAGGCTCTGGAAGGATTCTGGGGGTAAGTAGGAAGGATCCAATGGGGCCTGGAGTGAGAGGGGGGCGGGGGAAATTCAGAGAAAACTTTTCCAGGTCTAATTACAGCAAAGCAAGAAGGCTTGTAGGGAATATCATAGGCTTTCGACGAACTACTGTAGGGCTCCATATCCTTCAACAAAGTCTGAGCATGAAGAGGACAGCAAAACGAGTAGACCAGCCATAGCAAGACTAGTAGTTGCAATGTTGACAACATGATAACAATCAACTTGGGTTTGCTCGGCACAACCTCTGCATCAATCTGAGACCGAGAGCCTTGAAATCCCGTGTCACGTTTTAGAAGCCAAAGTGTGGCCCTAGTCAGATGCACCCGCTGCAGGGTAGATGCCAACAGTACTGTTACCATTGGCCTTTTGCAGAAGCTCTGGGGGCGGACCGAAAGGTTTAGGCTCAGGCTTCGAAGGAGGTGCGGTTTGAGGATCACACCCTAGATTCCAGATCCTAAGCCCTAAGCCCCTAAACCCTCGATCCTGAACGTCACACACTGAATGCTAAATCCTAAAACCTCAAATAAGCTAGGTGGAGGATATGGAAGCTTTGGCTGCAATGGAAGAGGTCAGGGTCTCAGTCCTTGAGATCAAACATCTGCGAGGCTCCTAGAAAGTAGGGGCCGGGCCGCCTGATGGGGAGCTTCTGCAGCGTTAGGAGTATATGGTGCCCTACAGAGGGATCACAAATAATAGACATAGCCATAGTCTCTATAATTTTGGCTAGAATAATGACTATGACGGCCGCCCGTGTTGCCACAATGCAGATGCTTGAGCTGCAAGTAGCTTCTTTTCCGTGGGGCGGTTGTGATGAGACCTACAGGTCAACTTATTCTGCTGGTTACTTTAACTAGCACATTGCTCATTGATGCTATGTTTATGCCTGTTATTGCTTCCTTGATTCTTCATATTTCTTTCCTTATTAACTTAGCAGTACCAATACTATCATTATGGTATCTAATATATATACATATATATATGTGAGAGGCACCTCT